GTGGCACTATTATGAGCTGCTACCCTTACTGTATACATGTGTAAAAAGATACAGAAGTTAACTCATTCCTTTATGATAATTGAGAAGAACCAGTAGCAAAGATTAAATATCATAGATTACTGACTTTGTATCCTAACTGAGCCCTTGGGCTGAGAACCAAGTGCCTGAATAAGTACCACATTCCAAAGAGAAGTTATAATAAGGAAGATGCCACTAGCAATACTCATATTAACAAATCACTTCACAAATGGCTAGCAAACATGCTCAAGCAGAGCTGCAAGCACAGGTGACAAGTACATTTTTACCCTTCATGTTACCAATACCAGTGACACACGTACATGTAAATATTTTAATTTGGCTCAAGAATCATTAAACAGTACATTCAATGTAGGTATATGAGACTATATAGTTCAACACAAATGTTCTTTCAACAGACAAGAAAAAGTGTGTTGTTGGTTACCTGGCACCATCACTATGAAGAACAGAGGCCCCAGTAGAACAAGGTCTGCTGATCTATAAATCTGGTTATCTATATCTAGCCAACCCTTCTTTCCAACCACTCCACTGCTGACCACCACAGTCTATGAGATACCCAATGGCATAAAAGCAGCACACTTTCTCCTGCTTATATTTGAGACCAAAGTGTCAATGTTAGATCCTAAAAATTCTAAGATTTCAATGACTCTAAGAGTTCAGAAAAATATTTATCTAAAATATGTATAAAAGGGAGAAAAGCTCCTGAAGTACAAAGTCGATGTTAAGGATTAATAATTCTGACCCATCCTGGCAAATATATAGTTAACTTTGAGTATTTCCACCCTTTCTTTCCATAATAAAATGGAGATATAAGAATGTGCTAACTCTAGGGCACCCGGGTGGTTCAGTTGGTTAAGCATACGATGTCGGCTCAGGTGATGATCTCACAGTTCTTGAGTTTGAGCCTTGCATTGGACCCTGTGCTAACAGCTCAGAGCCTGGAGCCTGCTTTTGATTCTGTGTCTCCCTCCCTCCCTCCCTCTCTCTCTCTCTCTGCCCCTCCTGTTTGCACTCTGTCTCTCAAACATGAACAAACATTAAAAATAAATAAATAAATAAAAAGAATGTGCTAATTCTGACTTGACTGTCAGAATTAAAACACTAGAACAGATACCCACAAAATCCTATAATCTTCTTTAGTTGTAGAGTTAGCCACTAGTAACTCTGAGCACAGGCTCCACTATAACTTGCTATGTGGCTTTGGGCAAATCACTTAACCTCTCTGACACTCAGTTTCCTCATCTATAAACTGGATAAAGAATATATTTATTATTAGAAGGATAATAATAATACCCTTAATTCATAAGACTATATGTAAAAACCAAATAAGATAAAGAAAACATGACACACTGCCTTGCAGTAATGACTGTTCTATAAACATAAGCAATTATCATACTCAGTCTTTTAAATGGGATAGAAATCGCTGTTTATAAATTCACCTGTTTAAAAGCTGATACCAGACTTCCTGGGAGTTCATTCTATCATTATAAGAAGAAAAACACACTTGGGAACATAATGAAAGAACTAGACCTCCCTATCTTTTTACCATGTGCTAGAATATTTATTCCATCATAGGTTTTACACATCATACCTCTGGTAAACTGTAGTATTACACAGTGAACAAGAGTTTTGGAATCGATAGATTTTAATCCTAACGTTACCTGCCATTAGCTGTGTGAACTTAAGTATTAATGTCTCTGACACTGACCTAGGGCTTCCTCAGTGTAAAATGTCAATAATCATAGTACTTACCTCATAGAGTTATTGTGGTGATTAAATAACATCATATCTTTATATTGTATGGTAACTAAAACATTGTGGCTGTTAGAAAAAGGCAAACACCCTGAGCCCCTCCTGAAACCCTATAGTCTTTTCATTTTAAAAATTGATGATCTTAAAAAAATATATAGGCAGATACATGCTATAGGTAGCCGGCAATTTGAGAATAATGAAAATTCCAAAGCACCATAAGAAATGTGCTTTTTCACAGAAGAGGAGACCTCTTAAAGCAGGTTGTGTCTGTACACAACTGACTATTTATTTGGAGTCACTCAACAGAGACTCCAAGGAAATGGACTTTGCTCACAATATCTCATGGCTTTAAGTGGCATTATCAGGTCAGACTCCCAGGTCTAAAGGCTGATATGCAAGCTGTGTCGGGAGTGCAGACAGGGTTAGCAATCACTGCCAAATAATGTATGGTGGGTTTTTTCCTACAGTGTTTTGCATGAGAGTATTGGTTTTCCCAAATGTATGTTAAGCTAGAAGCTACAGAAGTCTTTATCCTTTAGCAATGATGCCCATGACACTAGACTGATAACCATGAATATGACTCATTCAACAAATATTTATTCAATGCTTACTGCACCCCAGGCACTGTACCATGCCCCAAGAGTATGAGAGTATTTAACACGGCACTTGGGCAATGTCTTTCCTTGGAGATCTTACACTCTAAAAGAGAGGGGGAAAAAGTAAGAATTACAATGTTATAATGGGAGAATACAGGATGCACCGGAAACACACAGTAGTACATCTAACCAAGGGGGTAGAGGTAAGAGAGAAGAGAAAGGGAGCCAGTAAAATTTTCTTAGAGAAAGTAACATTTTGGTGTTTTTTGTGGTTTTGGTTTTTTTTTTTGTGGGTTTTTTTTTTTTTTTTTTTTTTTGGAGAGAGAGAGCATGTGCGTGCAAGAGCTGGGAAGAGGGCAGAGTGAGAGAAAATGTCAAGCACATTCACAACATGGGGCTCCATCCAAGCACACTGGGATCACAACCTGAGCCAAAATCAAGAGTCGGATGCACAACTGATTGAGCTACCCAAGAACCCCATTAACATTTAAACAAAGGCTTAAATACAAGCAAGACAGACTAAAGTATGTTTAAGAAACTAAAAGAAGATCTTTATAGCTGAAGCATTCAGATTGACATGGGTCAGAGGAGGCCTTTATAGGTCATGCTGAGTCAGGATGGGATACAGGAATTTGCACATATAATAAAAGTCAATCACTTTAAAACAATCAATTATATTTCTATATATCAGCAAAATGTAGAAAATAAAATTTAAACATATTTACAATAGTATCATAAAACATCAAAAAACTAACTTCAACGAATCATGGGAAATGTCCACGTATTAACAATTAGTTTATTTCAATGTTTTGTAAAGGAGACTTAACAAAGGCATATATACCATTTTCTTGGGTTGGAAGACTCAATATTATAAAGATGTCTATTATCAACAATTGTATTGATAAATATATTAACTGTAGTCCCAATCAAAATAGTAGCCAAATTTTCTTTTCTGTGCAGAAATCCATAAGAAAATGAGAAAGAACAAGATTAAGCCTGTTATTGGTCATGTTAATGGCCTCAGACTCTATTTATAGGAAGTATCCAGAATAGGCACATCCATAAAGACAAAAAAAGATTTCCATCCTTGCCAAGATGAAGAAAGGGGACCCTGAAAAAGAACAACTAAGTGGAAGAACTTTAACAGATAGTAAGACCAATTATAACCTGAGAGACGTTAAAACAGTGAGATAATGGCAAAAGAACAGACAAACAGATCAATGAATAGAGAGTCCCGTAACAGGCATGCAAGTACATGGCCACCAGTTTATGGCAAAAGTGAACCTTCAGTGCAAGGGAGACAGCTTTTCAATACATGGTACCGGGTCAATTGACTATCTGTATGAAAAAAATAATATTTGACTCCTATCTAACATCATACACAAAAAATCAAATCCTGATGGATCACAAATATAAATGTAAAAAGTAAAGTAGTAAAGTGTTTAAAAATACAGAATAACACCTTTACGACATTGAAATAGGCAAATACTTGCTAAACTGGACACAAAAAGTCTTAAATATAAAGGGAAAGACTGATAAAATGGAACTTCTGGTCATGTAAGGTATCATGGAGGAATAGACTAGCAAGCCACAGAACAGGAGAATACATTTTTAATATTTCAAACAAAGAACCCATATCCACAATGTATAAGAATTCCTCTTTAAAAAAAAAAAAGCAGGGGGAGAGGGGAAGACTTCAACAGGTATTTCACAAAGGAGTGTATCCCAGACAGCAGAAACATGAAATCATATTCAACCTCATTAGTTTCAGGGAAATCAAAATTAAGACTATGAGGAGACACAACAACATACCCACGAGAAAAGCTAAGATGCAAAAGCCAGAAAGTACCAAGTGCTGACAAGGATATAGGACAAGAGATCTGATACACTGCTGAGTAGAGAGGAGGTAAACTGGACCCAAGTGCTTAGATTTGGACACAATCTACTAAAGCTGAAGATAAGCATTATCTTAGACTATTCAATTCTGCACCTAAGATTATATCCCACAGAAATGCATAACCAGATCTTCATTCAGAAGCATGTACTGGAAAGTTCACGGAAACATTATCTAATAGTTCCAAACTAAAAATTACCAAAAGCCAAAAGCCAGAATAAAGACATACTTCTATTCACACAATGGAATACTATTAGCAGTAAGATGAACTAAGACTACATTACATGCAGGGTAGGATGAAACCTACAAAGTGTCGACCAGAAGCCAACACATGAAATGTACATATTACAGGATTCTACTTGCATACAGTTCAAAACGAGGCAAAACTAATTCTGGTATAATAAGTCAAGGTAGTGGGGAGTCTGGCTAGAGGTGTCCTGAATGGAAGGGAACATGAGAAAGCTCCTGAGACTCTGGGATCCTTATTATGCTCTGCTTCTCAGGGGAGATGCTGCTTATAGAAGTGTGTTCATTTTGAAATATAATGTACGTGTGTGTGTTTGTACACTTTTCTGTATGCATCAACTTCAAAATACTTCCAAAAACTTTTTAAAATTATATCAGCATATTTGTACAAAGATGGCTATCTGAGCCTGTGGAGAAGGAAGGAAGGACAACTACTGAATGTGGGGTCTGGCTGTTTGTATTGTGTTTTTACTCACCTTTGTCCTGTAATGCAATTTGTTGCTTATGCAGTAATGCCACCTCCCGTCCCAAAGCTTTCTTCTGTCTTTCCAGTTCATTTCGAAGCACCAAAATTTTTAATTGCAAGCACTCACTTTGTTTTCTCTAAATAATTAAAAAGCACAGGTAAATTTATGAATATAAAACTCATAACTATGAATCATTATACATTTACAGTGTTTCAAAATGAATAATGGTTCAAAGCACTTTAATATTCACCTAACTTACAGATCTCTGAGTAACTTTATTATTATCAGCACCTGCCAGGCTAATGAAAAAATAAAGATATATAGAATAAACCTAAAGTCTGGGGACAGTTCCTTCTAAGAACCCAAAAAACACTACAAAATTTCTCAGGCCTCTTTCCTGAAATCACAATATAATTAAGACAAAAATTATTTTTTTAGAGATAGAGTTCTCAAAAACCTAAGCATAGAGATACCCCAGGACTCAGCAATTCTACTCCTATGTATATACCCTAGAGAACTGAAAACATGGCCATACAAAAACCTGAACTGAATTTTCATAGCAGCTCTATTTATAATAGCCAAACAGTGGAATCAATCCAAATGTCCATCATCTGAAGAACAGAAACATTAAAATGTGGTCTATCTGTACAATGGAATATTATCTGGCAATAAAAGAAATGAAGTACTGATGAATGCTACAACCTGGATCACCCTTGAAAACATGCTAACTGAAAGAAGCCAGTTTACAAAGGCCACTGACTCCATTTACGTGAAATGTCTATATTAGGCAAATCCATAGAAACAAAAAGTAGATTTCCATCCCTGCCAGGCTGAACCAAGGTGCTCTAATATCCCACAGATTTCAGAAAAAGCCAGGTAAGGACCTGGGGTTTTTATCCCTTTCAGGCAGTAACCAACCATTCCCCCTATAGTTTCAGTGGATACCACAGAGGGAGCCTGGGCTTAGAGCAATAATGAGACAATCCTCTCCCTCCCTTCTGGGTTATATCAGAGGAGGCTTATTCGAGAGTGAGAATTTTCCTTACTACACAGTGCTAATGAGGTCACCCTGTCCAGCATATCAGTGGAGGCTACGTGGGGAACAATATCAAGGCACTCCTATACCTCTCAGCTAGGTTGGTAATCGTGGAGGCCTAGTGGAGAGCTGGAACTCCCATTCCTGGCCAAAAGTAAGGATGCTCCCTTCCCCTACACACCTGTCACTTAGATGTCAATGGAAGCTGTTTGAGGAACATGGACTTTTATACCCATCTGACAGTAATAAGATAGCATCTCTCCCTTCTCTACCAGAGAAAGATGTATCAGAAAAAGCCAGATACAGCAGATTTATGTAAGATCCAGACACTCATAACACCACACCCAAAATGTACAAGTTTTAATAAAAAAAATCATTCATCGTACCAAGAACCAGAAAGATGCCAAAGTAAATGAAAAAGGATAATTAATAGATGCCAGTACTGAGGAGACAGACATGTTACAATTATCTGACAAATATATGAGTGGCTATCATAAAAATGCTTCAGTAACAATTAAGAACATCTTTGAAACAAATGAAAACATAGAACATCTTGGCAAAGAAACAAAGTCTCAGTCAAGAAACTCAAGATATAAAGAGGAATCAAATGGAAATTTTAGAGGTGAAAATATCAGTGTAGTAAAAAGCTTCATAAATGAGCTCAACAGCAAAATGTAGGAGATAAAGGAACTTTAAGCTGAAAAACAGAGCAATACAAACTACCCAATTTAAACGAGAGACAGAAAATAGACTGTAAAAAAAAAAGATGAACAGAGTCTCAAGGGATCTGTGGAGCTATATCAAAAGACCTAATATTTGTATCATTGAGTACAGGGAGGAAAGGAGAAAGAGGGTAATAGTGAAAAAATACTCAAAGAAATAATGATGAAATCTTCCCAAATTAGGCAGAAGAAATACATGTGTAGATTAAAGAAGCTAATGAACCCCAAAGAGAATAAATTAAATGAAGAAAATTACAAAATAAATAAACCCAAAAGCTGGGTTTTTGAAAACGCCAATAACTTTGATAAAACTCTAGCCAGGCTCTGAGCTGGCTGTCAGCACAGAGTCCGACATGGGGCTCGAACCCACAAACTGAGATCATGACCTGAGCCAAAGTCAGATGCCCAACCAACTGAGCCACCCAGGCGCCCCAAGACAGAAATTATTAATATGAGGAGGGAAAGATGAGCCATCACAACTGATCTCATGGACATTAAAAGAATAAAGAATACTATAAACTCTATGGCTACATATTTGGTAACTTAGATGAAATGGACCAATTCCTTGAAAGATAATCTTCTAAAATTCACAGTAGGAGAAATAGATAATCTGAAAAGTCTTATATATATGTGAAATAATTAAATCAATAACTACTAAGCTTTTAAAATGGAAAGTAACAGACCCAGATGGTTTCACTGTCAAATTTTACCAAATGTATAAATAAATAATACTAAATTCTTTAAACTCTATTCCAAAATATTGAAGAACTTCCTAACTCCTTCTAGGTCAGCATCACCCAACACCAATATTAAACAAAGATTATAGATTGATCTCTCATTAGCACAAATGCAAAATCATCAACAAAACAGTAGCAAACTAAATTCAACAATATATAAGAAGAATTATATATCATAGCCAAATGGAATTTATTCTAGATATGAAAGGCAGGATCAATATCAGTAATCAACGAAATTCACCACATAAACCAGGCTAAAAAAGAAAAGTCATATAATCATATCAAGAGATGCTAAAAAAACATATGACAAAATTCAACACCCATTTATGACAAAAACTCTCAGCAAAATAAGAATAAAAGAAAACTTCCTCAACTTGGTAAAGAAAACTGCCAGGAAATCTACAGCTAATACCATACAGATCTTCTTCGACTTAAGATGGGGTTATGTCCCAATAAATTCATCATAAGTTTAAAATATTGTAAGTTGATATACATTTAATACAACTAACCTACTGAACATTACAGCTTAGCCTCGCCTACCTTAAATGTGCTCAAAACACTACACCTGGGCAAAATCATCTAACACAAAGCCTATTTCATAATAAAGTGTTAAATATCTTATGTAATTTATTGAATAGTGTACCGAATGGCTACATGGGTACAGAATGGTTAGAAGTGTATCAGTTGTTTACCCTCATGATCACATCGCTAAACGACAGGTGTGGTTTGTTTATTGCTGCTACCAGGCATCATAGCATCTATCCTATTGAGCCTAGGAAAGTGTCAAAATTCAAAAGCTGAACTATAGTTTATACTGAATGAGTATCACTTTTATACCATCATAAAGTCAAAAAATCTGACATCGGGGATTATCTATACCTAATGGTTGGAAATCAGGTGCTTCCTCCCTGCACTGGAGAACAAGGCAAGATGATCCCTTTCACTACTGTTTGAAACATGTACTAAAAGTCCTAGCTATGCAATAAGAAAAGGAAATAAAGCTATACAGACTGGGAAAAAAGAAATAAGATCATCTTTGTTTATAGATAATTTGATTGTTTATGGGAAAAATCTCAAAGAATCACTCCCCTCTCCAAAAGGACCCCCACAAAACCCAAAGCCTCCTAGAACTAATAAGTGATGACAGCAAGGTTGCGCAATACAGGGTTAATCCACAACAGTCCATCTCTTTCTTATGTAACAGAAAGGAAAATTAGAATTTGAAATTTAGGGGCACCTGAGTGGCTCAGTAGGTTAAGTGTCTGATTTCAGCTCAGGTCATGAACTCATGGTTCACAAGTTTGAGCCCCACGTCAGGCTCTGTGCTGACAGCTAAGAGCCTGGAGCCTGCTTTGGATTCTGTGTCTCCCTCTCTCTCTCTGCACCCCACCCCAAAATAACATTAAAAAAATTTTTTTTCAATGTGCAAAAGATCTGAACTGTCAACTCACTGAAGAAGATACGAAGACGACAAATAAAGACTTTTCATCTTCATGTAAAGATGCTCAACATTGTATGTTACCAGGGAACTGATAACTGATTAAAATACCATTGTACATTTACTAGAATAGTAAATATCCAAAACCCTGACAATACTAAGGCTGGCAAGGATGTGGACCCACAGAAACTGCTGCTCATTGTTGGTGGAAATGCAAAATGGTATAGTCACTTTAAAAGATGGTCTGGTAGTTTCTTACAAAACTGAACACAGGTTACTGTAGAATCCAGCAATTGTGCTTCTGGATATTTACCCAGAGAAGCTGAAAACTTATGTCCCCACAAAAACCTACACATGAATGTCTATAGCACCTTTCTTCATAACTGCCCAAACTTGGAAGCAATCCAGATGTACTTCAATAGGTCAACAGTTAAACAAATATGATATATCCATACAATGGAGTATTATTCAGCAATAAAAAGAAATAAGCTATCAAGCCATGAAGAGCCATGGAGGAATCTTAAATGCATGAAAGCAGCCAATCTGAAAAAGCTACATACTGTATGAGTCCAACTACATGATCTTCTTGGAAGAGGCAAAACTCTGAGACAGTAAAAATGTCAGTGGTCCCAGGGGTTCCTGAGAGAGGGGGGGAAAGGATGACTAGGTAGAGCACAGGGGATTTTTAAGTAGTGAAATTACACTGCATGATACTCTAATGGTGGAGACATGACGTTGCACACTTGTCAAAACCTGGACAACTGTACCACACAGAGAGTAAACCTGCGGTAAACTACAGACTTAAGTTAATAATATTGTATTGTATTAATATTAATATTGTATTCATATTGATTCATCAATTGTAACAATTGTACATAAAATGTTAAGAACAAAAGAAACTGGGAGAAGAGGGAGAACTTTGTGTACAATTTTTCTGTAAACCTAAAACTACTTTAAAAAATAAAGCTTATTTTTTAAAAAAAGGGATAGAACTATACCTCAAAAGAGCCAATTTTACTGAATGTTCATTTAATAAAACAAATCCCAGACACATTCTACCAGAGATACAATTAAGTTTGCTAAGTGGATTTGTGAATTTATCTTTCCATTAAAATACTTCCTACTTAAACCTATGAAACCACACTCTAAACTTTACTCAGCCTTTCTTTTAATCCAAAATTAGAAGCCAGAATTTGCCTCCAG